AAAAAAAAAAAAAAAAGGAAAGGAAGGAAAGATCAGCTTTCAAACTCTCCAGTAAGGGCAGCTGCCACAATATTTCAGTTCTTCTAGAGAAAAATGCTGGGCTAAATTCAAGGCTTTGCGGAATCCTCCGGTGAAGTTCACAGCCTAGCAAAGAGCCAAGCTGAGTTCAGACTCATCCAGGAAAAGTACCTGACCATCCTGGGGGAGATGTGGATGGCCATGGAGGAGACAGAGCATTGGCCAGAGCTGACTTTCAAGGTATAATTATTTTTCATCTCTAAAACAAATATTTTAATGGATGGAGATACTGTATTTACCAAAACTGACACCAGTGCACGTTATTAATTCTTCCAAACTTTACTTTTCTCCTTTATGAGAAAAGCCCTTTCTCAGGCCTAAATCTCCAATGGTTGTTGGTCCTTAGTTTTTCTCCCAGAAATGACATGGCCTTTCACTCACTTGGTGGGTGGCTCCTGATGAACTATCTGCTCCAGATACTCCAGGGCATTGGTTTCAATCACCACAGGCCATAACTTCTCCCAGTCAGATACAGAAAGTAGTGGTCACACACAAAGGTATTATATGCAAGGATTTCTTCATCATTTATGGCAGATATAGAATTTCACTTTCAAAACAACAAAACTGATAGTAAAGACCATGCAGATCCACATGCAAACAGGATATGATATACAGAAACAAAATCCAGGAGGACCATCCCCGGAAGGACTGGGGCCAAACAGATGGACAGAGGCTTCCAGAGGCTGTATGCACTCAGGGGCTGGATCCTCCCAGAAGAAATCCAAGCAAGGCCCAGGCAGCAACTACACTGCAGACTCTGCAAGACAGTAACATGGATGAGAGGCCCCAAGGGCAAGGTCTGCCTGTGATCTCTGCAGCTTTGCAAGCACCACACAGTTGCCCTTCTTCCTCCCAGTGCCATGCACCAGAATGTACTTTCTTTTCATCGCTTCCTGGGGCCAACACTGAAATTCTGCCTCCCAGAGTCAATGGCCCTAGGGTTTTCCTGGTGATTTAGATCGGTGGTCAGTAGGACACAGGGATGCCTGGAAATAATTTTTCTTCCATAATGTCACCCACTAGAGGGAAGGCTCCTACTTATCCAGAATCCTCAAGGCTGTAAGTCTATCTTCCAGGTCACTCAGCCCCAAAACTTACATGCATCCTTGACCTTTCTTAGGTTTCTGTCTCCACCTCACCATTCCCAGTGCTCCCAGGCAGGACCAAACCACAGCCACGCTACACCTGGCTACATGCTTACTTCCCAAGAAGCCCTGCACTCTGCCTCAGCTGCAGTCCATCTCAGCACCTAAAGCAATACTTTGAAAATACAAACTGGATTCCTGTCTCTCCTCTGCCCAGACCCTAGTGGTCCCTGACTTCTTCCAAGACTGAGGCCCACAATCCTCACCTGTGCAGCCCCAACAGGGCAGGACTAGTTCTTCCTCACCTGTTCCACTCACCATGGGCTCAGTGGCCCTCAACAAGCCAGGTGCCTCCCCACTCAAGGGCTTTGCCTCACTGTCCCCAGAGTGCCCTGCCCGGTTCACCTCCTCCCCTGAGTCTTAAATAAGATTCTCCATCAGCTCCTTTGAGCCCAGCCCTTCTTCCAGGACTCTGCCACAAGCCAACCTATGCTCAACATTAATAAGTGTTCGTCACCTCATACATTCAGTGTACTTATTATGTTTGTTTTTATCTTCTAATAGCTAACATGTGGGACTTTGACTTTATTCGCCAATTAATCCATGGAGCCCACAACAGTACCCACCACTGCAGATGCCCAGTTATATGCAGAATGTACTGAACGATCTTGTTTATTATAGTTGTCAACAACTCTTTGACAACCATCACCAGCTAGTGGGGTGGTGACATAGCTAGTGAGGTGAATCAGACCAAACAGGGACCCAAACGGGCAAAGAGCAGCTTCAGCCTGGACACTTACTGTAGCATGCAACTGACATTGGGGGAGTGTCTCCAGTAACGGTACAGGGAAACCTGCAGGGTCGGGTGGCACCTGTATTCCTTCAGGACACTGCGGACACTGCCAAAGAAGTTCACCTGGGTCAGCAAGCAGCACATCACACCAGCTGCTGCATAGGCTCAGGGTAGGGACAGGCAGAAATGAGTAATGCAGGCCAAGGTGAGCTCAGAGGCACCTACTCCTTAAACTTATTGGACAGGAGCAGGAACTGGCTTTGAGTGAGCCGTCGGATGTCAAACTTGCAGAGGTTCTGAAACTCGCCATAGACTTGCTGCTCACTGACCCCAGGCCACCTCCTGACAGTGAGGATGAGGATGGGAGGCCGGATACTGGAATAATCTGGGCCCGAGAAGTTCTAGAAAACAAGAACAAAAGACACTTCCCACAATTCTTACTACATCTCATGTGATTGAAAATACTACACAAGAGTAAGAAAGGCTCTGATAGGGCCTGGGAGTGGACAGCAGGGGAGGGAGGAAGGAAGGAGTGAGGTCAGGTGAGTTTTGGTGGAAAACAAGAAATAAAAGGCTTCCCAGAGTACGGATACCCGTGCCAGCTCTTACCTCAGTGTTCCTGGAACCCCTCTAGCACACCCCTGGGGAAACCAGCCCACCTCCCGCCATCAGCTCAGGGAGCTGAGTGAAACCTACTCACAATTTTAGGGACCCCTGCTCGGATAAGATTCACTTGGTTCACATAAGGAGCCAGCACATCGAGGTACTGCGGGAAGGAGGGCTCAGACGTGGGGACAGGGCTACATAGACAGAGAAGTCCCCAGGACACTCAGGCATGTGGGCGTTTATTCTCATTTCCTCAACCACAGCTAAAGAACTGGTGATGAACAAGGGAGGGTGCTGGCCCATCCACTCTTCCTTCCACCCATCCTGAGCCCTGGGCTTATGTCAGAGGGCTTCCTCCAACCAGCCAACTTCAAAGTGCCCTCTCCAGGGCCCAAAGAGAAGCAGAGCTTCTGGAGAGTCACCATCCATGGGCTGTAGTTTGGGAACAAACTCTGCAGACCCGCATTGCAACAGGTTCAGAGAATGAGCAAGGGGCTGCTGTCTGGAGGAAGCGTCATTTTATCAACCCTTGGCACCATTTTACCCTCCATCCTAACAGGTCACCCCTTGCCCGAGAGTCTCATTCTGCCATCAGCCCCCTCTCTGTCCAGGTACCACCAACGTTCAGGCCCTGAGCAGCTCAAGCCAGGGAACCAGGCGGACCTGAAGCCACACAGACCTCTCTAAACCCAGGACTGCTTCTAGGTCATGAGGACAAATGAAAACAGGATGAAAGGCCCCAGGCCATACACAGAAGGTCTCTGCCTAAGCCAGCAATCTCCCTACCTAGCATACACCACCTGCCACCTACCAGTGGGCATAAACACTATCAAACTTCAGGAATGAGGGAGACAGGCTGGAAGATTTCCCACATTAGTCTTAAGCCTCACATCGATGTGTCATAGAATATTTGTATTTATCACATCCCAAACAGGCAAACACAGGCAGTTCGGGCAGGTCATAGCCCAAATGTGTTCCTTAGATAGTCCTGAGAACAGTTCACCCTTGTGACTAGCTCCTTCACCAGGCCTACTAAGTGCTACAAATGTCCACCCCTGCGACAGGGCCATAGGATACACATGTAAAATGTGCACTTGGTTCCAGTGTGTCCAGTGCTCGAGGAATCAGGAATGCTACTGCTATGCGCATCTCTGCCCTGGGTACCTTACTCCAAGTCACTGTCTTTGCCCCACCTGACTATGTGAACCACAGCAATGTGCGATGCAGCAGACTGAACTCCTTGTTCTCCCCCCTTGCTGTGCTCCTACAGTTACAAGGACACACGCAGGTAACTGACAGAGGAACACACCAAGCTGGACTTAACTGAGACAGGTATTAGAACCCACGTTGAAGTCACTGCTTGGGTCCCCCAACATCAGTGAATTTTCCCAACGTAAAGACGAGGACCAGAAGCCATAACCCACCCAGAAAGCAGGCAGCGGTGGTAGGAAAGGGCCCTGATGGATGAAGGCTACATGTCTGCTACCACTATGCTGACTGCTGCCCAGGCAGAGACATGATATCTACCCATATGACATGGTACCTTCTCTTTGGTGGCTCAGGGACCCAGGAAGTCTATAACAAGGACTCAAAGTCTTGGCCACAAAATGAGAATAGGATGAAAGGAAGAGACACTCACCCACGAACTCTCTGTAGGAGCAGGTGTGCCACTTTCAAAAGAACTGGAAAAAAAAGAAAAAAGCTAGAGGTTAACAGACCTTGAGATCTTATCAAAACATGCAAACTCCTGTTAGGCCCAACCCAATATGAAATAAACAATAAGATAGGGACAGCAAAGGCTTACAACCAATGAAAATGGGTCTTCTCTAAAAGGGACCACACTCTTACCTGACCCGCACAGGAAGGCATCATATCCTGCTTCATGGGGGCACTTTGTCTTGGCTGAAGCATTTTTCCGTAAGTAGAAGAGAAAATGAACAGGCATTAGAAACAGGTGTGGAAAGGAGTCCTTCTCCCCAGCCTTAGATCAGTGATCGCAGCAGCTGCAGCACAGATGACCGCCAATGCTGTATGCACCCCTCTCCCTGCTCACAAGTCAGTTTTCCCTCATCCTTCCAAAGTGGGGGTGGCCCAGGACCCAGAACTTCCTGACAGGCTTGACCCCACCCCAAGTAGGAAATAAGCAGCTCCCAGCCTTGGATGTGCTCCGTGATGTATCTCAGAGGTGGCAATTGTAGGGAGCAGGGCAATAAAGACAGTGGAGGAAACCCACATACACTTTCATGGCTGGCCACCTGGGCCACCAGGGTACAGGAAAGGGAGGGGACATACCATATTTTTCACATTTGTTTCCATGAACAATCACTGGTGCAGAATCCTTGGTGGGATTTAAGTTACTAATAGAGAAAAAAAGACAAATGATTCTGTTTCTCCTCTCAGCCTCCTAAATTGTAAAAGTAAGTCCACAGCATGTGTGTGTACACGCCAACACATACATGTGTGCATGTGTGTGTGTGTGTGTGTGTGTGTGTGTGTATATTTTTTTTTCAATACTGGGGATTGAACCCAAGGCCTCCATACTAAGCTATATTCCCAGATGTTTTTATTTTGAGACACAGTTCGGAATGGCCTCAAACCTGCAATCCTATTGCCTTAGCCTCCCAAAGTGCTGGGATTATAGGTGTGTAACCACATCCAATTATCACATGCATTTTAAAAATCCACAGTTCTTGATATGGACAGAGATGGTCTTAGTAACTAGGCAACAGGTGAAAGGGTCCACCTGGACATTTAAATTCAGGCATTTAACAAACTTAGCCTTAGAAAAATAGGATGCTGCCTCTGCACTCCAAGCTTGCTGTCTAGAGTCTGGTGTCCTGAGTGACAACAGTATTGTGTCCATGCCCTGTAAGTGCAATGCTGAGCCTCAGACAGTGACTTCAGGGTTCTTGGGGCTAAAGGCTCCCTGAAGCAGGTAGTACTAAAGCAGAGGCACAAGCCACAGGAACTCACCCATTTGAAGGTACAAAGTAATGACAGGCATTTCAAGCCAAAGTAAGAATGGGCAGTGACAGGGAGGAACAGATTCAGGCCTGATGGTTGAAGCCCCTCGTGAAGGGCTGCGAAGGACTTGGCTCTTGGCTCTCTGATCTGAACACCTTCTGGCCATCCTCCTGACAGCTAAGACACAGTGGGTGGGGGGTGGGGGTGGAGAGTAAAATTCATCAAGGGCAAGATATCCTGGTGGTGAAGGTGACACAGGGACCACTACCTGGTTTGCTACCCAGAGCAGAGCTATAAACATATCCTCCAGGTGACAGCAGCAGATGCCTCACCACTGTCTCTCCATCCAAGACATAGCAACTGTATCAGTCTCCTACCCCAGCACATGATTTTCAACACAGACCCCTGCCTCACTTTTGTATGGTAATGAGGACTAAACCCAGGGCCTTTGCATTAAGCTACATCCCCAGCATGTTTTTTTTTTTTTTTTGAGACAGTCTCATCAAGTTGCTAATTTTCTCAGGCTGATTTCTAACTTATGATCCTCCTGCCTCTGCCTCCCAGAGTTCTGGGATAACAGGTGTGAATCACTATGCTCAGCTTGTTTTTTTGTTTTTGTTACGGGGATTGAACTCAGGACCTTGAGCTTGTGAGGCAGGCAGCAGCACCACTAAGCTAAATCCCCTGCCCTTCGGCTTGGCTTTTAAGTGCTGGTGTTGAGAGAAATGAGGAGAGACTGAAGACATTTGAAGGAGGCTGGGGGAGTCCTGCCCACCTGGCTCACATGAGAAGGCACTTGTGTTCACTAGAAGAGACAAGGATGACAGGAGAGCAGAAATGTTCAGGAGAGCAGGGCAGGGAGTGGAGAGTCCTGCCTCCAACCTCATCCTTTCTTCTTGGAAATGGGCCCAAAGGCTGTCTGGTCTCACCACACGTGCAGCACCCAGCAGACCCGGCCCTGCTCCAGAAGCACCTTGAAAAATACCTCCCTCACCTGCTCAGCACTTCATATACTTCTGAGAGGTTGGAAACCCGCGGGAAATGCAGTTCCTGCAATTGTAAAAATCAAATCAGGGAGAACAAAACATTTGTGCTTTCGGCTATCCTGTGCTTTAGATCTTACCAAAGACCTGAAGTAACCTGAAAAATGCCGACTCCTATAGGCCTCTTCCTCTTCCCACATCCTGACCACCCCTACTCCTTAATTACAGCATTAGGGAACCAGCACCCTAGAGCATCCTAGAAGCGTTCCCGAACCCAGGCTAGAGTGAAGTGCCCACCAACACCATACTCCATCTCCCTCAGCAGACAAGTGTAAGGGGTTCTGTGAACATAGGAATCAGAGGCACGTGATGGGGACTTGGACACATTCATAGGATACTAGGGATGAAAGTGCCTGGGGAGTGCCAGGTCACTGAGTCAAAGCTAGAAATACATGAAACACAAATATGAAGAGCTTCCCTGGGCAAAGATACATCAATGAACCTGTTCCCATTTATTGGCTCCCTTCTTGAATAATTCATTCTAGGTCATTACCCTAAGGCTTTAAAACACTGATCTGATTCCTTTCTTTTCCACAATTTCTAGGCAGCACTTAAGGCAGTTGGGTCCTTCCTTTCCCCACACATAGTGCACAACCCAGTGACACAGCAGAATCACCTGGGGGCTGTCAGAACACCACCTGGCCCCATCTTAGACCCCACCTGAACACATAGTGGAGCTGGGCCAGTTTATAACTCCCCAGTGATTCACATTCACTGGCAGGGTGAGGACCCATGACCTCAAGGCTTGGCAAAGACATGTTCCTCAGCACTTTCCAAGAAAGGACCCAACCCTGGTGCTCTGTAAGCATGTCCAAAGTGTTTACAAAAAATGTACAAACTCCAAAATAAAATGTTCCATTATGCCATGAGAAGCACAATAATTACATACAAACAAATCAAAACCTGGAAACTTGAATGAGGGAAAGAAAAAAATTATATATAAGCTAATATGATGACCTACAGGTGCCAAAATATGAAAGAAAACTGATCCAATTTTGGTTCTGTTGTGTTTTGTTCGGCTTGGGTTTTTTTGAGACAGGGTCTCACTATATAGTTCAGGCTGGCCTTGAAGTCACTATGTAATCCAGGTTGGCCTCCAACTTGTGGCAATCCTCCTGCCTCAACCTCCCAAATGCTAGGATTACAGGCATTCACCACCATGCCTTGCTGATCCCAGTTTTATAAGAGAATTCAAGGAACAGTTACAGACAGCAAGAAAGAGCACTAAGTGCACCAATATGGAAAAGAGCAGTTCTTACCCCAAAGCAAATTCTACTAATTACCTTCCAGATATCTTTTGTAACATTCTTGGTGTCAATAAGAACAGGAAATAGGTTGTGGATATTCTGCTTAAACTGATCATAGCTTTCTGAGGAAAAAGATTCAAACAGTAAAAAGTGAATTTGTTGGTAAATATGGGAAAGAACTATTGTCTACCCTTGCACACAAAACAAAACAGAAATTGAAAGCATCCTCAATCCTAGCCATCAAAGATGACTAATCTGAAACCAAGCTGCCATCACCACTTTAATCGTACAGGCCAAGTGGTTTTCTATTCTATTAAACTCAAGATATTTTCTCTTGCCAACATCAGCTAACACAGTGTGAGAAGCACCAGCCAATGGGATGAGAGAGGGGGAGACAGGGATATTTGGGGAAGGCAGATATGAAACTGTCACTTATAAATGACTGCTAAAATCCAAGAAAAAACAAAGTCATTTTAGTGAGAGGTAAAGTACCACGATGAAAAAAAAAAAAGGTTTTAAAAGAAATATTAACTGGTGAATTTATCAAAGCAATATTTGCATATATTTTAAAAGGTTTACTGTAAACAAACAAATATACACAATCTCCAAAACAAACTCTCAAAACCTCTCAAACAAAAAAACTGAAAAAAAACCCTCTTCCCATATCTGCCCATTTCCTCCCCTGAAAGGCACCTGCTTTCACTTTTCCCTTTGGTGTTTATTCTCTTGTCTCTAAGTGAAACACGTGTGCTGTAGTCCTAGGCCCTTCCCAACAAAGAGGCAATGACTCTATCCTATGCACCCAGCCCACATCCCCACCGCGAGCCCCACCTACATCAGTCACAGCATCTCATCTGTACAACCCTGGGAACCTTGTTCATGAAAGACCCTACGGTAGCTACCATGAGTCCTACTTTCTTGCAGCATTTCTTTCTTTTCTAGTAAATATTTTGTTTTGCTGTTTGCTCAGTATTTTATTGTGTATTATGAATTATACCTCTAATTCTCCCCCAATTCTCTCAATATGTTCAACCTCAGGCATCCTACTAATTCATGTCTTGGGGAGAGTACTCATAGATTTTGGGGTTTGGTTTGGTTTTCTGAGACAGTCACATTATGATGTAGTTCAGGCTAGCCTTGAACTCATCATGTAGCACAGGCTGGCCTCAAACTTGCACTGATCCTCCTGTCTCGCCTCCTGAGTGCTGGGATAACAGGTGTGCACTACACCAGCCATTCTAGAGCTGTCTCACCCCTTTGCATCTAATGTTCTCTACACATTTTTGGGTTCACTTAATCCCACATGCACACTAATATGTTACTGTTATCCTCTCTTAAAGGTAACCAGGGAAGATAAAGTAACTTGCTGGAAGTCATGAAGATAACAAGGGGTGGATGAAGGATCCACCACAGCTCTAGGGTCCCAGCTATAAACCATCATGCTGCCCAGCTGACATCTGATGTCCTATACAGAACCAACCATAAAAAGAAAAGGGATATGGCCATAAGCCAGCATCATGGTACATCCATTAAAGTGACATTTATTAGTTTTTGATGACATAAAATAATGCTATGGGTAAACAGAAGAAAAATCCTGGGCTGGGGGTTTAGCTCAGTGGCACTATGCCTGCCTCACAAGTGCAAGCTCCTGAGTTCAATCCCTGGTACCAAAAAAAAAAAAAAGGAGGAAAAGTCCAAATAATATGTAAAAACTTGCAATAGAGGAAAAAGCCAAAAGCTTTAGGATTTCTGCTGAGATATCTCCTTCACATGTTTCTGATTTTGCCAAATTTACACAATGAGTGTGGGCAACTTTAGTAATGAAGAGAGAGGTCTCAGTTCCAATTTAGGCTTTGCCTCTTCCTTGAGGTCACCTCTTGGTCACCACCCCAGAAAGATCTGAGGACAAGACTCTGCCCCACTTCTCTAGAAAGCTATGGACACTGGGGAGAATGGGGAAGAGGGCAAACTCAGGTAAAAGGAAGAACAACAGGTGTGTCCTTACCCGGGAGGGGTCTGAAGAACTTCTCGTGGAGATGCAGCAGATCCATCATCATGTTATGCCCCACTAAGGGCTACTTGGAGTAAATCAACACGTGAGACAAATGAAAATTAAAACATAATAAAGACAGACACTACAGAGCAGTGGTGGTGAGTCTATATGCATGCATGCCCCAGTGGGCTGTTTATATCACAGAAAGCTCTAAAAGGTTTGCCTTCACTGTCAAAGACTAATGGCAGTTTCTTACAAAGGATGTAGCTTCAGAACCAACTGTGATTCTGGTCACTTGATAATTCCATCCCCAGTCTCATTCTGCTCCCATGTAAGGAAGCAGGACTGCTTAGAGGAGAGAAAGCAGAGACGGGACAGAAGGGTCTTAAAACAGGGTCCACAGTGAGAATCTAAACTGTGTTTGGATTTTTTGTTTGTTTGTTTCTGAAGCAGGGTCTCGCTATGCAGTTCAGGATGGCCTAGAACCCAGGGCAATCCTCCTGCCTCAGCTTCTTAAATGCTGGGATTACAGGCCTGTGCCACAACTCCCAGCTGAGAATCTAAACCATTAATGAAATACACGTGGTTTTCCAAATAGTTTTAGGTAATTAGTGTAAAATTCCTGTGTTACTGAAAGGAACAAAGAAAGTAATATTTCACATGTAGAGTCCTTCACCAAATTAACCATCATGATTTGGTAAAAATGAGGTTAGGAACAAGGAAGCCAGTTATCAATCAAAAGGAATCACTCATTTTTAAAAATCTAATTTTACTGATAAAGGATCCTTCAACACCTATGGCCAGAATTACAAAGGATTGTGAAAAGCCAAGAAAAAGCTGTTTTCCCTACCTTCTGGGCTTGTACCAGCATCTGGAAAAAGACAGAAAAACCCCTTGCAGAGAGAAGAATCTGCTCCTTCCAACAGCTGTCTCGATCACCGGAGGCATGCTCAAGGTACCAGCGATGCTGCTGGCTTACCTTCTTCACTATCACCTGAAATGAAAAAGCAGAGACACAGGCCCAGAACCCTAGGTCACTGGAAATGAAGCCTAGAAAAAGGTTCTTCATCACAAAATGAAAGGAAAAAAAAAAAAAAGAACACATGAGAAAAGCCTTTCACAGAGGGTACATAAGGCTGAGAAAGAGACGTGATAGAGCTGCTAAAGACGCACATTCCCAGAGGCAAACTCACCCCCCCATCTCTCAGCACTGTCCAGATGTTGGGCAGGGCCTGCCTCAGCACCAGCTGCACTTCAAAGGCCTGGAACCCTGCAGAAGGAAACACAAAGCACACACAGAACTGGAGCAACACTGCACCTTTTCCACAGAGAACCCCAAGAATAGGAGCAGCTGAGAGATGCTGGGAAACAGGTGGATTGTGTGGAAAGATAGCTCTCAGGGGCGCCCAAGCCCACCAGGCACATGATGTCACATGGCCTCTTGTGATGCTCCCGGGCAGCTTTCTCAAAGTTTCTGATCTCAAGGACATTCAAACTGGGAACTCCAGAGGATTTTTATTTCTTTGGATTATTGTTACTGACATTAACCATGTTAGAAATTAAAACTCCAAGTTTAAAAAATTTCAATTTTGAAATATATGAAAAAATTATTTGAAAAAAAATAATTAGCCAGAAGAGTGACACAGCCCTGGGCATAGTGGCACATGACTGTAATTCCAGCTAACAGAGGCAGAAGAATCACAAGTTCAAGGTCAGCCTGGGCACCTTAAAGAGACCTTGCCTGGCGGGGGGAGGTTAAAAGGGCTGGGGATGTAGCTTGAGGGTAGAGTGCTCCTAGGTTTCATCCCCAGTACTGCAACTTTTTTCTAAGTGTGACACTATTTCACATTTTTGCCCCTAGCTGCTTTTGCATCTAATCCGCTTTTGCATCTAATCTGCTAATCTGCTGTAATATGTTGTGTTCACTGAAATATATATAGAAAATCCAGATATACAGAGGGATAAATGGACAGGGGAACAGATACTAGCCTTATCAAATGACTTTGCGTTTTCTTAATACTATGTAAATCCAACACACAGTAAGTTTTAAAGATTGGCTGTTCTATACAGTCTAAACCCATTATTAATAAACTTTCTAGGGCCAGGGATTTAGCTCAGTGGTTCCACTGCCTGCCTCAAAATCGCAAGATCCTGAGTTTGATACTTGGTACCAAAAAAAACTTTCTAGCACCATAAAATTAAATTATATTGGCCTGTTTTGTATTTTGAATGTTGTTTTGCAGTACCAGGGATTGAACCTAAACCCTCTGTACTGAGCTCTTTATTTTTTAACCTTTGAGACAAAATCTGAGACATTAAATTGCCCAGCCTGGCCTTAAACTTGCAATCCTCCTGCCTTGGAAGATACTGGTTTGCAGAGTTATGCAGATCTTCCAAATGTTCACACATTTGACTATACAATACCAATAAAAGCCATTTGCACATATGACTACTGATCTTATCAGAAAGGCCTCAGTGTTGCAAAGCTGTCGTGGTGGCAGATGCAAATTTTTCCAAACTCCTGTTATGGAAAGCTTGAATTTTATCACTAGCAAATTCTTTTGAGTTATTTTCCTTGAAGTTACAGGCCTACTTTTTCCACTGAGAAAATGACTGTAAAATACCCATGTCTAAACAACTACAATCTGTTTTTTCCAATAAAAATAATATTCCAAGAAGAAGAAGAAGAAGAAAAAAAAAGCAGCTGGGCCTAGAAGTGTAGCACAGTGGTAGAGCACTTGAGGCCCTGGATTTGATTCTCAGCACCGGGAAAAACAAAAAACCAGCAGCTAATCCAGTTCTCAACTCTGAAAACTGCAGAGTGCTGTTTCTCAACAGAACCACTGAAGCAATGCTGTCGATACTCTTATTTTTTTCTATACTTCTACTGACATAGAATATTTAAAAGAAGAGAACACAAAGGTGGAGACTTAACAGAACTATGAATATTAATTACTTCCTCACCAAGGAAGTTCTTAAGTAAAATTGGCTTTTTAAAAAGCTGAGAGGGCCAGGGATTTAGCTCAGTGGCACTGTGCCTGCCTCATAAGTGCAAGGTCTTGCATTTGATCCCCAGTATGGGGAAAAAACAAAAAACTGAGAATAAACGGCACTGAAGGATGCAATGATTACCAGCATGATTTGATTCTCCTATGTAACTTAATTCTGCTAAAATGCTAGTGGACTTAAACCTCATCACTAACAGACACAGGAAAATGGTGCAATGACGACAGCAAGTCATTGCTAAGTTATACTCTGAAAATAGTTCTGACCTTACAGACTCCATAGATAGGGCCTCAAAAACCAACAAGGTCCAAAGACTAGGCTCTGAGAACTGCCACACCAGGGCAAACCCATGGGGGCAGGGGTAACAAAAGTCAGTAATAGAAAGCACTCAAGATGGAATCCAAAGAAAGGATGGCTCATAAATGAACTTGACTTCTTCAGCCTTGAAATCAAAGTAAATTGCAAAGGCTTTGACTTTTCAATTCAGCCCAGCATTATGTAACCCTGAGGACTAGGCATCTGCTGAGCAAACACTGGCATCAGACTCAATGCATGGCATTTAAGACCAGGATTTGTAGCAAATTTGTCACCCAGTTCTAGTGCATGCCTATGACCTGTTCCCATGATTCCACATTCAGCCAGCTCCCTACCAGCAATACCAGGCAGAGTCATCTGGTCACCTTCCTTGGCCAGGTCCAGCCACTGCGTCACCTTATCAATCACCACCTTGATTTGATCTTTATCCAGAGAGCTGAAAATGGGCACATTGAGAACAAATGTTGGAGAAAACCACCCCAGAATCTTAAAACAATCTCAACAAGAAAAGTTTCAGGACCTGCTGATTCTATCATTGTGACCTCATGAAAACTGACCCAAAAAGGTCAATTGTTCTCCAAATCTTTTCTTGTAGTAGAAAGGCAAACCCTGGCCTATATTCTTTCCAAGTTCCCAGGAATTCATTCAATCCCCGCCTACTTTTCTGGGAGTACAGAAAAAAACAAAGAAGTCTCTGGCCAATACCAAAAAGAACTATGAGAACAGTCTCTACACAGCTTCCAAAGAGGTAGAGTACATACCAGCTTGGAACAAAAAGAGAAAGACAAGAGCTCTATAAACCTTCTCCTGTGTCAGAGAATATTCTGTTAGGTTGAGATCTCGCTCCAACATTTGAAAATAACAGAAGATTAAAAATTCAAATTGCTAGCCAGGCATAATGGCACGTCCCTATAATCCTAGCACTCGGGAGGGTGAGGCAAGAGGATCACATAAGCTCAAGGCCAGCTTGGGCTACGTAGTAACTTCAAGGCCAACCTCAACCCCATAGTGAGATCCTGACTCAAATAATCAAAAAAAAATTTTTTAATAAAAATAAAAATAGCTATCAGGTCTGATGGCACATGTGTATAATCCCAGCTCCTTAGGAAGCCGAGGCAAGAGAACTAAATTCTAGGCCAGCCTGACAACTTAGCAAGATCTTATCTCAATAAAAATAAAAAAGAAAGGTCTGTGGGTATAACTCGGTGGTAGGACACCCCTGGGTTTGATCCCCACTAATGAGAAAAAATAAACAAAATTGTTTTTCCCTTACAAAACAAAAACAAAAAACCTTTATTTTTGTATGAAAACCAGCACCAGTAATGGAAAAAGAAAAAAGAAAGTCGAAACATTACACAAGATCATTATTTGGACTAGATTGTGAATTATATTTCAGAGTTAAAAGCTGTCTGATTTATTCCCCTTCTTGGTAAAAGAAAAAATGTACAACCCAAAGAGCTTAAATGACTTGTTCAAAACCAACAGTTAGTTGATAGCACTGACTGACTGGGCCCTGAGCTCCTGGCTCCATTTGCCACCCAAAACCACATTCCTCACTTTTCACTCCTGTACACGCAGCACAAAGTTGCAGGGCCTAGGTCTTTGCAGGGGCCAAAGAAAAAAGGGGGCACAGGTGAGTCTCATACACAGGCTCAGGCATGCCAGGCTGGAGCAGTCTAAAGCCTGTGCCCTGCATGACTGGTATATCAAGGTTATCTGTGAGTCACCCTGCAAATCCCTCAGAAGACCATGCTGGAGCCCAACGTGACATCATATAGCAAGTCCAACAATGCCGTTTCCCCCCACCCCAGCACTGAAATGAATTCCTATTTCGTTGAGTAAACACTACAAATTCCACTTAAAGCAGTGAGACCTGAAAGAATGGAAGATACAGGAGGCAGTTTCTTACCTCAGCAGCAGATGGATCCCCAGCATCAGTGGCCAAAGCATGAGGGAACAAGTTCACCACACCCCTGGAACCAGCATATGAACCGACAGAAATACAGAAAACATGGCAACAAAAAGACCAGTAAAAAAGAAGCCCTACCTTCGAACTTTCCAGTTCCCTGTCAGGATACTATGTTTAATTTTCTTCTCCTGTTCTTCATTCATATACGGAATTCCCTTTTTGAGAAACTAAAAACAGGAAGAGAACAAGTGAGAGGTAGCTTCCAAGGCAATAAAGTAAAGGGAAAGAGTTTGGTTTCCCAGGAACAAGTTAAGAAAGAGGACAGAAAATAGGTAGTGTGGCCAGTGAGATGAGACTCTGAACACACTCTGCCCCTTCTCAAACACAGTACCTTGTTATAGTTGAAGCCATATTGGTTCAAAAACTGAACACTAGATGCCTGGAAAGAGAATTCTGAGTCCAAAATCCCAAACGTTGTAGGGAAGAGAAAGAAGTTACATGAATGGGCTATATACCTATAAAAAAAAGAAAAGAAAAGAAAGAAGGAAAAACATAAGGAGATTAAAAGCAGTTAAAGGGCTGGGGATTTAGCTCAGTGGCACTGCACCTGCCTTGTAAGCACAAGGTCCTGAGCTCGATCCCCAGTACCAAAAAAAATTTTTTAAAAGCAGTTAAAGATAAATTTAAAAATTAAAAGTAAAACAAAAGCAGACTTGAGTGGGATCTTATTTTCATTTAGGAAGGACAGGAATGTCTGCAGTGTTGCAGTGTTTCAAGTCCTCTGCCTGGCACTGATGGCCAAAGGAAAAAGGCAACACTCTTACCCATAGGAAACAAGAGTCTGTCACAGAGATGACCCCCTCGACAATCCCTCCTCCTGCCACTCAGGCCCCCTCCACTGCTGACAGGTTGGAGCCAAAGCCACCTCAGCTAAGCACAGATGACACAAGGTCACTACAGAAAACACAGCAACAAAGAAACCAGAAAACACATGGAGAAATAGGCCCTACCCAATGGCCTGTCTCCATAGATGGAATATCCTTCTTGCTGGCTGGGGCTTTGTGAGCAAACTGCTTCACAAAGCTGCATAAGAAACCACTGAATGGAAAGCAGGTGCACCTAAGAAAGATGCAGGGGAGGGGTGGTGGGGAAAGGGCCCACAGGAGGCTTGGAGGAAAACTGGAAGGGTAAATTGGAATCTGCAGAGGACAGAAAAAGGGAAGAGCTAGGAGGAGAAGAGAACATGGAGCATCTAAGACAAAGTGACTCAGCCACCTAGGGAACAACTAGAAGGGAGCAGCTGTAAAACACACATGGGCAAGAGTCGTATGTTTTGCAAAAGCTCTTTATATATACATACATGTTTGACTCTCCTTCAATACTGGAGAATACAGACAATCCTAGAATGAAAAGAGAAGTAATAAATAACAAAGAAAAGCTACCTGAAGTTAACCACAAAGCCAGAACATTTCCAACAGTGCTTTGATACAGGTACTGTGTGGACTATAGAGCAGGAGGAGATCCTCTTGAAAGGAGGACAGATTTGAAAACTGACAAATGTCAGATTGTAATTTGCATTGAAATTACTAAGATGTAATTGTGGCCATTTCTTCAAAAACAAAAATCTTAAAATGATATGTTCGTAGCTTAAAAGTAACCAGGGCCAGAAATGTTGCTCAGTGGTACCACACCTGCCTCACAAGCACAAGGTCCTGAGTTTAATTCCTGGTACAAAAAAATAAATAAAATAAAATAAAAAATAAAAGTAACCAGCAGAAATACCAAAAACCATAAAGACTTCAAAACTTAACTGTTTATAATGTCTATATTACCAAAAAAGACCATATTCAAAGTGCAAAATATTTCAAAATAAGACAACAGAAACATAACTAAGAGCTGTCTCCTATACTTCTCAAAGAAAAATAATTAAGAATAGACAACAGGAAAAACAGAGAACTCGAGTAAAAAGGAAAATACACATACACTTGTGAATTTCTGTTCAGTGTCACTCATAGTAAAACAGGTTGGTAAAATGTGGCCCATGCTCTGTCTATAAACAACATTTTATTGCAATAGTTATAATAAATGGTTTATATACTAACAGCTGATTTCACAAAAGCAGGACTGAGTATGTCGCTGTAAAAGAAATCATATTTCCTGAAAAACCTAAGATATTTCCTTCTAACCTTTTACAGAAAGTTGTTGCCCCCCCCAAAACATTGTTGACCTTGTATGATAAGATACAAGTCAGAATAGCAAATAGATAATTTTTGCTGGAGATTTAGCTCAGTAGTTCTAGCGCCTGCTTTGTAAGCACTAAGTCCCGAGTTCAATCCCTGGTACCAAAAAAAATCTCTATCAGGTGGGCAAAAAATTTTCAGACTGATAATACTAGGTATTTGTTCAGTAAATGGGTACAACCACTATTGTTAGTATAAATTGCTAAAAATTTTGTTGTTTAATAGGAAGAGTAGTTTGGCAATATACATTAAAAAATGGTTTTTGGCAATATTGAGAATCAAACCTGGGGCCTCAAGTCCACTAGGCAATCACTCTATCATAGAGCTACATTCTCAACCGATATACAATATGTTAATGGACACACTCTGGAACTGCAATTCCACTGCTAGAAGCACCCAAAATGCAGATATTCACAAAAGTAATACAAAAATTTCAAGTACAAACTAACTGTACATAGATGGTTAAACAGAAGTATATACATATATATATACATAATATATACATAATATATACATAGTATATACATAATATATACATATTCAGTTTGTAATAGTATAGAAATATTAAAAATGAACAAGTCTAGACAGGGGCCAATAGAGCGCCTACGTACATGTGAGGCCCTGGGTTCAATCCCTGGCACCAAAAAACAAACAAAACAAACAATAACAAGTCTGTATGTGCTGATCTAGAAATACCTCCAGCCCCATCAGGCCCCATCAATTGAAGAAAAAAACCCAAAGACACAAAACATGTAGTCTTTTGTTTGTATAAATTTTTTTTTTAAATACATGTTTTTACTTTAAAGATGGAACAGGTGACAGTGATTATTTCTTAACTCTTATTTAGGCACAAAAAATAATGCTGCTAAATTTTGTACTTGCTTTAAATGCTGGTCCCATAAGCATAATATAAAAGGATACCTGATGTCTTTCAAAGTGATTTTTAATGATAGAAAATACAAAATAATAAAGTTTTTGTGTTTTGTTTTGAGACAAGGTTTCACTATATATACCAGGCTGATCTTGAACTCACTACGTAACCCAGGCTGGTCTCGAACTTGCCCAGATCCTCCTATCTCAGCCTCCTTGAGTATTGGTATTACAAAACATGAACCTCTACATACAGTTAGACAATAAAGTATTCTCTTGCACGACTCTTAAACTGCTGAATATTAGACTCACCAATCTGACAGACTGTAAATTGCTGAATACTCTGTCGGGTCTTTAGATACCAGTCAGATGGCAAATCAAAAAGACTGTGAAAAAAATATATATAATATACCATAAGCAAGGAGATCAGATCAGGGCCCAACACCTTCGAGGCTGATTCAGCCACTCTCAACCAGAGCAGAGATTTTTCCTTATTACAGGAACTAGGAGACACTAGTACCATTCAATTGACAACAACCAGGTTCCCCCAACGGGTGGGAACAACCCACACAAAATGCCCTGCCGCCCAAAAGCCAACAGTATGCCTATTGAGAAGCAGTGATGGTCCAGCCAGGGTCTTATACAAAGAGGACTTGGGTGAGTTGACTCTCTGGGCTCGAGACCGCTTTACCTTTACCTGATCTTCTGGAGGCTGGACAGGTTAGAACGAAGTCCAGTGAACTCTATGTCCAGACCTGCAGGGGAGACAAAAAATACAGTCTCCAGGTACAGAGCATGCCACCACTATACACTGAATCACTGATCAAAATATGAGATGTTTAAATAAAAATTATTACAGTTCTCCTTTGTATCTTTACAAGGTGTGACTTTTAAAATTATGTATTATATCACACACACACACATACAGAGAGAGAGAGAATGCTGCTGCCAAGAGCTATCCAATAGAAAAGCAGGCTCATAAAAACATTACAGTGTCCACATCCACCATATTCACCCAATATGGCACCTATGAGACTTCTGGCTCTTCCCCACCTGGAAAAGTCAACATTTTGAATCATTTCAGGACACTGAGACAGCTACCATATTGCAAGTAAAGACACACAGGAAAAAGACTTCCAGAACTTAGAAAGTGGCAAGAAGGATGGGATGTATGTTCAAAGTGAGGGGGTGTCCTGAGGGGATTAATTGCGATGTGTCTTTTACGTAACAATCTTTTTTAAAATTTTACATTCGCCATCTGTTTTGACCACACCTCCTAAATGCTGCCAGTGGCCCACAGGCTCACCTTTGTGCTCTGGAAGCCAGGTGATCAAAAGCGGGAGAGGGCGGGAACTAAATAAAGCAAGGACCAGAAAGGCCTCCCCGCATACTTGGTCTTTGGAGGAGCTCTGGCCACCAAAGTCTGGGGCCTGAACAGGGATTCCGCTTCCTTCCCAGGCCCCCTCTCTGGCTATGGGGCCCGCAACCACCCCCTCCCCGCGTGTTACCCACGAAGTCCGCCTCCCGAAGTAGCTTCTGCAGCAACGGGAGGCTCCGCTCGAACTCCTCGGCGCCCAAGTCCATGGCGGCTCACGGAGGCGCCCGGCTTGACCGGTGTGGCCACGTGCTGCCACTGGCTTCCCGCTTCCGCTTCGCCCGCCTTAAAGGGCTCGCACACGCTGGTCCGCGGCCCCGGCCACACCTGCTCCACACCTGCAAGTGGGCTGGAGCTTCACAACGTGCCCAAGGATGAAGGGTGCTTGTAATCAAGAGCCGCCAGCTGCATTGGGGACATCTTTTGCGACCTGGGATAAGCTACCCTCCTACTCCTGGCAGAAATTCTTATCTATAGAACTAGTTAGGGGCGACCCTGGTCATTAGTTTATCTTCCTTTCAGGCCTTCCCTTGAGTTCTATACTTCTATTTGAACAGCTTTCTGTAGCGGTGCTCCTCCAGTCAGTAAAGTGCGAGAAGAAAAAAAATTAAAATTCTACGCTTTTAAGTGCATATTTACCGACCCGTAGGGGGCTAAGACATTGGATGCTGATGCCTCTCAATCACACCTTTTAAAATATTGGTGCATACTGTATAGACTTGTATCATCTTTGTGCAAGGGTGACTTTAATCTTCTCTGTATCATTCCACTTTTAGTATGTGTTGTCCAAGCCAGCACAAGTTGTGTCATCTTTGCAAAATATATAGAATATTGTCAACAGTAATGTTTCATTTCTAAATGAATGTATAAGTATACTTAAAATTTTGAAAAAACAATGCTCTGAAAACTACCTTAAGTGCTTACAGGTTCTTCCTCCCATTTATCAACAGTTAACACTCCACTTGAATTTAACCAACTCACTTCAGAGAACCACCATGATATGCATCTGCCCAAGCTCCAGTGTTGGGTTACCCTGCAGGCCTTTCAATCTTCCTCTCTGATCTAACTAGGACTCTCACTTCAGGGCAAGCTGAGCCCACACTACTCCGCTGGTTTCAACTTCCACTTGCAATTCCTCCTGGCTCTCCTTTCTTCTGTCTAACCTGCTTATCTGCACCAGGAATCAAGAGCCACAGGAGCTTTTTGTCTTTATCTTCACCCACTGTTTCAAAGTTTAAACTGATACTGACATCTCCTGTTAAAAAACAACAACAAAAAAAGACAGCCCTAACACCTTGAACAGTAAACAACTCGCATTTAACTGAGACCACTCACCATGAGCCACCCTTCTTAATGCCTTTTACAAATCTTACATGTGCACCCTTGTTCACAGGCAAAAAATTTCATATAACCAGGAAGTAAGTTATTATGTCTTTATTTTATGACTTACAAATTTTAATTTGTCCTTCGAAAGTTATAACTGATGATGTTTTCCTTAGATATGTCTTTCATGTCCAAAAAAGGGGGAAGAATTTAGCTCTTGATTAAAAAATAAAACCACATACACGCTTACACACCAAAACATTTGTCCTTCGAAAGTTATAATTGATGATGTTTTCCTTAGATATGTCTTTCATGTCCAAAAAGGGGGAAGAATTTAGCTCTTGATTAAAAAATAAAACCACATACACGCTTACACACCAAACTTAATTACAAATAATCTTCCACTGTTAAATTGTGCTATAAAACTTCCAGGCTGCTTTTTCCTCTGGATGCTTTCTTTTCATGGCCACAGTAGACAGTAGTTTTATATTTACAGAAACATTAATGCCTTTATTTTATTCATAGATTCTTCGAGGCTCCTTTAGGACCACACCACCTTCTGTCATGGCACTTTGCAGGCATTTCATCTGATTTCAAAGATCAGAAAAAAAAGGAAAGATTAAATCAGCACAGAAGAAAGCTAAAAAATAAGTAAGTTCACTTTTTTTTTTTTTTTTTTTTTTTTTTTTTTTTTTTTTTTTATTGTGGC